TTGTCTCTCTATATATATATACACACATAGACACCTTAATGCACAATATTATCATAGAGCTACTAAACAAAGAGATGGTTTTGAAATCTATCTGAAGACATAGGCCTAAAAATACAGAAACAATGCTTATCTATTATAGACCCTTGGAATTTAGCCCTACATGAAGGACGGTTTCTGTTCCTGGAATTCTTTAAGAAATGAAGTACAACCCTACCTGTCTGATGTAATAAATAAGAACTAGTATACAAGGTTAAATGATACATAACATCATTTTAAATGTGCACACTAACCAAAGAGGGCTGTAACAAAGTGTTTTTCAGGTATAAGGTATGACTCAGGAGTAAGTTTCACTTCCTTTCTTCTGTTCATTCAGCAACATATTGAGAGCCTTCCATAGACCAAGCTTTACTCTAGGCTCTATGGAATCTGTTGTAAACAAAATGGACCAATGTTCCTTGTCCTGGAAACAATAAAAATTGAAGATGGAAGGCAAGAATAAATAAGTCAACAACAACAACAAAATCCAAGATAAATAAGTAGATAAACAATGATCAAGAAAACATTTTTGAAATAATTATTCTAATTCTTTATAGCCACTGAGTCTTATGAGTGTTCATAGTAAATAAATAACTTACAACAGCCAAATAGGGCTCAGCAAGAAACCAAAGGACTTTTAGCAAACCAAGACCCTGATAATTACTTTATTTAAATGGTGGAATAAAATATCCTAATAACAGACTTTTGTTTATCAACACCAAGCAACTATTGGGTTTTGCAAAATTATTTCTTCTCCCTCAAAGAAAGCATCTTGACAGTATTAACCAATGCAAACACAACCATACAAGGTCTTTATTTGCAAATACCATGATTACATAAAAATGTAGCTTAACCTTCATAGGATACAGACATATACAGTAAAATGGAAAAAACCCACTATTTTTACCAAAACAAAACAAAAAAAAACAAAAAAACAAAAAAACAACAAAAAAACTTTCCATTTTAGTTTTTTCTCATTTGGAACTTACTACTTTTATTTTTCATTTTTTTGGTGCTTTTTCCTTCTCTGTTCTTGCATTCTTATATCTTCAGATTTCTTCTTTAAAAGATTTAATGTCTATGAATTTTCCTCTGATTACAATCTTAGCTGAAGCACATCAGTGATCGCATATTCTAAATATTTTGTCATTGCTTTTACACTCCTTCTTGGCTCCGCAGCTTCTAAGTGGGGTGATTTTTATTTCCATGTAGTTGGAATATTTGTTATTGATTTAGGATGTGATCAGAAAACATGGGGCTTTTAAGATATTATTTTCCTTGGGAAATTTCCCGTTATTTATTTTATTAATGATCAGTAGTTTCAACTACTTATGTATACATTAAAAGGTAATACAGTTTTTGTTTGTGTAAACAAAAAAGTTTCAAACATATTTCTATTGATTCAATTCTACTATTTATATAACCAAAATATCCTATATTCTTTTGCTCTGGTCTACTTCATCTATCAAATTGAAAGTAAAGTGATAAGACTTTATCTTTATCTTCTACAACTCTGTCCATATCTTTTGTAACTATAAGTTTCCACTTGTATTTTAATACTACACACTTGTAACATAAAGGATTTAACTGTCATACTTTCTTTTACTGTGATATATTCCTTTTGTCAATTTCTAATGCATATTTTCTTCTATTGTATCTGATATGAATTCTGCCGTATTTGTTTTCTTCATTTTCAACTTTGCCTAACATATTTGTCATTTTCAATTTTAACCTTTCTAGGTCAACTTATTTCAAGACTTCCTGGTAAACAGCTTTTAATTGGATTTTGTTTCTTAACCCAATCTAAGGTCTTTTTTTATTAATTAGGGAATTCAACTGATTACATTTATGTCTTAATTATGTTTGACTTTGCTTTACCCTATTTTTCTTTATTTGCTGTCCCCCACTATCTGCCCCTCGTTTGTGTTGCAGGGACTATTTCTTAGCTAATTTTGTAGCTAGGAACCTAGTCCCGTGCCTGGCACATAACAGGCACTCACTAAGTGTGTGTGGAATGAATTAATACATTTAGCATATACCATTTGTGCAATAATGTGGAAGACACATACACTGCTTTTAGTTCTATTAGTGGTTAATTTTTTGAATCATTTAAAAGCCATTATTAAACGTTCAAGGTTAACAGCACAATAATGAAGGTACACTCTTCTGTCCTAAAGAGGTAGAGTTTAGAAATTTTGAACTCCTTTTGGCAAATCTACTACTCCAGTCTTTGTCAACTTAAGTCATATTTATGACCATCACTATCTTATTATTTTTGTAATATGAAGCCATTACTTCACATAAAAGTGCATTTAAGATGATTCTTTAGATGTACACCTTTTTATTTAACTTGTTTCCATTTTCACTTCCAGTCCTTCCAGTTATGACGTTCTCATGCTTATTATATTTTATTTCTAATTATTCTGGTAAATATTTCTAATTAGTGTATTCAGAGAGGTGCCAGGGTTTCTACATCTTTGTCCAAATATGAACATTTTCCACTGCTTTCCAAACCTGATGGCCCAGGTTTGAAGTATATCAGGATCTCTAAATCTCAAGTTGCCTTGGAAATTCCAACATGACTTTTTTGGAGTCAGGTTTCTCATCCATCAAGCCAAAGATTTCTCTAGTAACAAAGTCTGTGTGCCCAGCTAGTTAAAGGCTATCAGTTGTAGCCTCAGGTGTACTGGGAACAGGTGAAAATTTGAGACACAGTATTTTAGACTGCAGTGTCACTGACAAGGCTGAGTCTAATATTTTTTATTTCTGCATCGGTATCTTCACTTTCTATTCTGAGGTACCTGGCTGGGTCTGGATCAGGGCCATCTCTGTGGCTAACACTGCAGTGTTGGGATTGGCAGCCTCTCCAGAACCACATGCGATGGGGAGACGGAGTTCTCTAAACAAACAGCAGCCCTGTTTCTAGAAGGTGGAGGCAGGGATGCTAGGCCGCCAGAAACCACGTGTATCCACTCTAGGCAAGCTGACGAGAAAGAGATTTCATGAAACCAAATGTGGACCTTCTGAGTGAGTCTTCTAAACATTTTGACCAAGAGTTTTTAGACGACGAGACTTAAACCTAAGGAACTGACTGGAGGTAATTTTCTGAATCTTATTCCTCATTTTTTTTGTTTTTTTTCTTTAAAGTACACAGGTCTTTTAGTTAGCTTGGATAACATATTAGTGGCATAGAATGCAGTAATTATATTTTTTTCCTGAAAGAATTAGATAATTTAAACCATGGAAATTAAATGTTTACATATTAATGTTGTCCCAGGAAGCAGACATTATTATGTGGGGCTGTGAAGGATTTTGGACTTGGCATTCCAAATTCCTTATTGCCACTATTTTCTTATTTTTACAATATGGACTCTTCCTTTCATGTAAAAAATTTATTTTGGACAATAAATTAAAAGCCTATGTTGTCTTATGCCACAGATTGAGTTTAGTGTTAACTGTAAAGGTGCATTGGAAGAGAAGGGAGTGTTTACTGGTGGGGACTGCAGGGCTAACGCGAGGTGAAAAGGGGCTCTCAAATGCGGGCATTTAGTACACAGACGATCCTCACAGTTATTCTCACACTTGCTATTTCAAAAACAGAACTAAAGAAAGTAAAATTAAAATAGCTAAGAGGAAATTATCAAAATATCAAATGAATAGAAAATACAGCATTAAAAAGATACAATGGCCATAAAAAATTAGTTTCAGTAAAATCAGTACGTTTAACTACAACCCACTGTAGGCCAAGGTGGCAGACGACCGTACGTGTCCTGTTCTGCTGGACTGACCATGTGAGTGCAGAGTTCTCTGTAGGATGCTTCGAGCCATTAGCGGAGAACGAAGACCAAAGCCAAAGTCCATACTGAGTTTTGGCATCTTAAACTCAGAATGTTCTGTATGGTAAGCCAACTGGACTCCCTAAACCTTTTCCAACTTGTTGCTGACAAACTACATCTTTTCCCTTCTTATGCTGTACAAGTTTTTCTACTTTCAATCCAAGAACAGGGTTTTATTTTTACAAATGATTTGGTTCATTATTTCAGACCATGGCTGTTGAGACTCTGTGATCAAGTGCCTTTACTTTGTTTGCCTCCAAGTTTCCGGTGATCTACAAAAGTTACTTTCTGTATCCCACTTCAAATTGCTGGTAAAAATAGATAGGGCACATCTTGTTTAATTACAGTTTTAAAAGGACGCATACAATTGTAGTCATAGGAAAATGTTTGCTTTTTTTCTTTTTTCCAGTGTTTCTAGAGAAAGGAAAACATGACGACCCTCATTCTTTGCTTTATGGGGGTAGAGACCTTATTGCTGGAACCTATGAGAGGAAATCTTCTGGAAATATGGGAGGGGAGGTAGGTCGGGGTGAGGGGGTCTGCTGGGAGATTCCTTATTTAGACAGGCTCAGGCCTGTCTAAAACATGGTGAAGGGAAAAAGAGGCAGAGTAAGAAACAAGAGGACTGGACAATGTCCCCAGCAAGGAGATTTCCTCCCATCAGAGCCATTTGTTGCTGCTAATGTTGTTTTACTTTTTATCCAAGTAATAATATAAAGAACACGGGCAAAAATTGCTTTGCAACATCATGGGCAAAACACTACAACTATAGCTAAAACTTGGCAATTTTGTAATGGACAGGCTTATGCTATCCATCTCATAGAACAGAGGCAGTAGGAAAAATCCTGCCCCACCACCCACCACACACTGGGGAGGCGAGTACATTCATTAGGACACCTTGTTAAAGCAAGAGGGAAGAATGAGGGAAAACATTCCAGAAGTTCTGTCAACATATAACCATTCTGGTCATAAAGAACTGAACAAAAAAATACAATAAAGTTGAAAAGTCACCATTTCTATAGCAAATACTGTACTTTAATTCAGATTTAATTAATAAGTTATTAACAAGCTATTACTCTGAAACAAAAACTTTTTACTAAAGGAAAAAAAAGACATGCACAACCCAAAGACAATCTGCTTTTACTTTATTTAATACTATCTCACACACAATATTTACAGATGTAATTAAACTGAATTTATAAGATTATCATGTGGAACATTCTTCAAAGTTAATCTGAAATTTCTTAATCAAAATCATCAATGCATGTGTGTTACAATACAATACAATACAATACAATAATAGAATGTAGAACTTTTCAGCCAATATCATGATGGTTAATTTCATAAAAACTTTCTTTTCAAAAAGAGATAAGTCTGAGGAAATATTTTAAAAATTCAGAAAAAATATTTCTGTATCTAGTCATAATCTTCCAGCTTTTCTGTAAAAAAAATTATAGACATTCTCAATTGCATACATGACTATTTTCTTTAATACTATATTTAACTTTTAGTATATTAGAGTTGTTTCTCGTTTATCATATTTTCAGCACAGGTTTAAATGTTTTTTATGTTTCAAAAGGAATACATAATTTAAATTTAAAACCACCATCTGAATATTATTTTAAAAACAGCAACGAGACGTGGCCACCACTATACCTTGGCTCTTCATTACAGCTGGTCCATGGAAGGGAACCACATGGACAACAAAAGTGAGGGAGTTCTCTAACCAGTTCTAAGTGTGATTTATTGGAGGTGCCAATTGCTTTCACAGACATTAAGAAGACATCAGAAACAGTATCTACACCTGTATGTCTGAGAGAATACTAGGTATCTGGGGGCTAATGGTCCTAACTTACATCTATAATAACATTCTTAGAATAGAACCACAAAAAATGTAGGAATAACGGTAGCACAGTGACATATGAGGAAGAGTTAACTTCTCTATCTGCACAAATGTGGAGGCATTTCACTCTGATTTTCGGTGAGCTAGATTTACTATCCATTCACAGAAGTCAAGAATTACAGCATTTCTGATCTTTAAAAAGTAGAGGATATGCTATTATACAGAGTTTATTTTCCTTTGGAAAAAACCATGGTTCTTCAAAAGGTATTACTATCATTTTTGGAAAACTTAGATATTAAAAGGTAAAGGATCTAATTGTATCTACTCATTTTGAAACATTTCAAAATCAGTGGGTCAGTGATAGTAACTTCTATATTAAAACTCTGAAAAACTAACAATAATTTGTGATATTCATTTTGTTAGAATAACACCACTGAAGGGGCAGATAAGCATGACTTATAAAATCATAATGAAAAAGTACCATTTATTATCTACTATGTAAAAAACATTCACTTGCTAAAAAGGGTTCTGGAAATGGGAGTGGTGCTGAGTTTTGGGGTTTGTATGTTTTTTTTTTTTTTCAAGTAAAAATTTCCCGCCAGGCGCGGTGGCTCACGCCTGTAATCCCAGCACTTTGGGAGGCCAAGGCGGGTGGATCACAAGGTCAAGAGATCGAGACCATCCTGGTCAACAAGGTGAAACCCCGTCTCTACTAAAAATACAAAAATTAGCTGGGCATGGTGTGCATGCCTGTAATCCCAGCTACTCAGGAGGCTGAGGCAGGAGAATTGCCTGAACCCAGGAGGTGGAGTTTGTGGTGAGCCGAGATCACGCCATTGCACTCCAGCCTGGGTATCAAGAGCGAAACTCCATCTCAAAAAAAAAAAAATTAATTAAAAAAAAAAATTTCCCTTATATACAATAAACAGGTCTTTCGCTCAGGAAATCCATTTTTCAGATAATACACAAGCAAATTTCAGAATGTTATGAATTATCATGTAAATAACTAGAACATAAATTAATGGTGCTTGAGGGGCCATTTTTAAATACAGAAAGTACTCCTATTCATGAAAAGTTTAAGCAGTTGAAAAAATATATATATAAATAAAGGTTGAACTTGAAACAATGGTATAAAGTATACTTGCAATCTAAACCATGGTAGAGAGCATCATCATCTAGTGATTGACTATTCAATGTTAACATATGCATGCGTCAATTTTTTAGAAATCACATATACATATGCTAGATATGTTTCTATTAAATATAAATATAGCCAGGAGCAGTGGCTCATGCCTGTAATCCCAGCATTTTGGGGGGCTGAGGCAGGCAAATCACTTGAGGTCAGGAGTTCAAGACCAGCCGGCTTTAACATGGTGAAACTCCACCTCCACTAAAAACACAAAAATTAGCCAGGCATAGTGGCAGATGCCTGTAATCCCAGCTACTTGGGAGGCTGAGGCAGGAGAATCACGTGAATTCGGAAATAGGGGTTGCAGTGAGCTGAGATTGCACCGCTGGAGTCCAGCCTGGGCAACAGAGTGAGACTCCATCTCAAAAACAACACCAAAAATGTAAATATACTACTATAAATTTGAATTTTCTTCTAAAGCACGTATTTTGTTCATAAAGTTGCCTTTTACCAAAATACAAAACACTTATGGTGGTTGTGTCTTGGTTAATAGGACATTAACGTCAGAGATACATAATAGCTTTCTCAAAATGCAGGGCATACCTACCTATATGGTCAATAGTTGATCATTTTTCGAAGGGCATCATAACACTTCCATTTGTCTGGGATGTAGAATGGTTCAAAAATGTGAGGAAATGGTGTGTCATAACCACATACTCTTGATATAGGAGCCTCTAGGTTCAAGAAACATTCCTCCTGCAGACATGAATCAAGATGGTTAACTTCAAAAATACGTTTTATTCACAGAAATGAAATAGTGAAACTTAAAATATTTCACTTACTCAAAATACAATTTCATCTAAGCACATTAAAAATATTTAAGTATATTGTAATATGAAAAAAGCAGGTAACAGCAGATTCCAATTTTACTATGTTTTCATGTATGTACATGCATTTTATACCTATAAAATATCTATTGTCTAAGCCAGACTGGAATAATACCAAACAAGCTGTTCTATGACTATAAATGGAAAGAATTATAAAAATGCAACAAAAATTCACAGTAGTTAACTCTGCAGAATGAAATTGGCAAGAATACTTTCTCATTTCCTGTTTTCCTCACATTTTATACAATATACATATATTACTTTCATAATAAATGTTTGTAATTCCTACATGCACCAGCCAGACTGAACTTCTATGAGTTACTTGACTGTGTTCTCATCTCTCTCATGGTCTGGCTTCTACAGATGCTGCTTGTTCTCTGGCCACTCATAATCCAAGTTCACAGCTCTTTGCTTGACTGATATATCTACAAATCTCAGGTTATTAATCTCAGGAATCACTCCCGATGGGAAGCCTTCCTTGACAGCATCTCCCCAAACCTACAGAGCAGATGAAGGAGGGGCTTCCGCTCTGAGCTCCCAGAGTCCTGAACTTGGCATAATCCATTGCAGTTGCTCAATTATCTGTCTCCTATGAGAGACTATGAGCCCCATGAAGCTAGAGATCTGATTTAAATATGTAAAACCTCAACCCCAGTAGAACACTGTACAAATATCTTCAGGGAGAAAAAAATGTTAGTAAAATATTCAAATTTGAATTTGTTTTTGAGACAGGGTCTCTCTTTCTTACCCAGGCTGAAGTGCAGTGGTGCAAACATGGCTCACTGCAACCTCAACCTTCCAGGCTCAAGGAATCCTCCCACCTCAGACTCCCAAGTAGCTGTGACCGTCAGCACGCACCACCACGCCTGGTCTTTTTTTTTTTTTTTTTGTAGAAATGGGGTCTACTTATGTTGCCCAGGCTGGTCTCAAACTCCTAGGCTCAAGTGATCCCCAGCCTCCATCTCCCAAAGTGCTGGGATTACAGGTGTGGGACACCAAGCCCTGACTGAATATAAAATGTTTAAACAGTTAAAAAATCTAAAAAGGGAGGTGGTTAAACTATTCTGAGGAAAATACTAGTTTTAACATTCAGAGTTATTACCCAAAATAAAACATTGGTATTTATTCATCTGTTTGCACATTGCCTTGCTTTATAAAAGACTTAAGGAAGCCCAATTTTTTTTATATATTATACTATGTTTACATTCTAATTTGAGTAGAAAATGTTACATGAAAGAATCATGACATCTCATGCTTTATCACTACCCTCTGTGTGATTTCCTCCAGTGATAAGTGTACTGGGGCAGAAAGAAAATGCAAACAGCACACGTTAGCTCCAAAAAGAACCTATTGGACATTTACAGAACTCCCTTTGGCCCCAATAACTACCATGATTTACAATATCAGACACCAAATAAGTATTGGCATTCCCTAGCAACTGGAAATCTCCACAAACAACTTTAGGACTTTTAATACACATGCTTTAAAGAGCCACCTAAGAGATTCCACTACTAATAAGCTGAAAAGAGATGACAGACTGGGTGGATTGTTTCTTGTTTGCAACAAGTAATTTTAAAGAGCTTTAAATTGTCAATTTGGGATTAGGTCAGTTTTACTAATTTAGCTGACAAAATGCTGTTTTTCTATCTTCCCTGAATACTGAACTCTTCATAAACAAACTATCCATGGAAAATTAAGGGTAAAATAATTTTACTAAATGCCTTTGATTTTACACCTGTTATACAATGACTATTCTCTTGAACTAGTAACTTGGAAAGCTGGCCCACCACAAGAAGATTTGTCAGTATTTGCTAAAATCACTCCTTTTCAGCATAATAACTAACATCACCAAAGCAGCTTTTTATTTTTTCAAATAGCAATGCTCCTAACTCCTCAAGAATGCAAGCATCACTCTTTCCAGGAATACATCTATATGTCTACACAAGCACAGAAAAACATCTACTGCAAGGACATACTGAACTGTAAACAGTGGTTACCCTTTGAGGCTGGGAATGACAAGGAGGTGAGAGAAGACATCTACTTTCTGCTTTATAATATATTGTTTTGGTTTTTATAAAACAATATTACTTTTGTAATAAGTGATGCTGAAATAAAGTAAAACAGTAAAGTGAATAATCATATTGTTATGTAAATTAAAGTTCCTGTTTTATGTTACATAAATTTGTGATTTTATACATAGGGCTTCTTTAATTTGGAAACGATTACTATAAATTATGTGGCATTGCATTGTTATAAAATACTACTATAAGTACATAAAATGTATTGTAAAAATCATGGAGGATAATTCAAAGGAATGTAAGAGAAGACTATGAATAGGGTATTCAATTTTTTTTAAGAATATATGCTGACTGACTGAAACAGCTTGAAATTCTCTTTACTAACAAAAGTATATTAAAGAGCCTTAAGTTATTTCTTCCATGAACTTCAGTTTACACTTATTTTCAAGCAGTTGGAAATAAGACCCTTAGGTCAATCAAGCAGCTATATGGTTACTTCTCACTCAGTTGGTTCACACATAAATAATTTATGTGTATGTTTCTTTGAACTACCATCAAAACAGGACACCCTTGTTCAGCCTCAGTGTTTTAATGCAGAGACTGTATATATGTGTACACACATACACACAGAGGGAGGGGAGTGGGAAGGGGAGGGAGTGGGGGAGAGGGAGAGGAAAAAGGAGGGGGAGAGGGAGGGATGGAGGGAGAGAGAGGGAGAGGGGGTGGGGGAGGGAGGGAGGGAGGGAGGGAGAGAGAGAGAGAGAGAGAGAGAGAGAGAGAGAGAAATACTGAATCCCATTGGCAAGTCTGTAGATTAATGGAGATAAAGTATCTCTCCACTATAAATACATGATGCCATAACCATAGCAACCATGTGCCCTGAATTTTCATGACAATTCAGATTAATCATATTCTTCTGCTCCATATCTTAACCATATTTGATGATTTTTCATTCAGAAAAAGTAAGCCACATAAATTGGGGATTAAATAATGGGATAGCCCATAGGGCTGTTGGGAGACTTACATGTATTATGCAAAATATGGGCTAGAAACAGGGAGAGTTTGTTTATGGTCTTTCTCCCTGCAGAGCTGTGTATGTGAGCTGGCTCAGTCCATGTGGAACAACGATAGATGAGGCTGTGAGGCTCCCAAGCAGATTATGGTGTAACATACAACCAGAGGCAACACAGGCACCTAGAGAAACTTTTCTCTAGCTTATTTGGGTTCTAAAGTTGCACCCAGGGTCCAGTAAGAAAGACTGAAAATGAACCCCAAAACAACAATTTAGTACCACCTACATATATTCTGTTGTCTTAGGTGCTTTCACATTATCAGGGGCTTAAAGAAAAGTAGCTATTTCTTCCAAAAGATGCATGTGAAATTTTAGAATAGAGTATTTGAATTTACTTTCTCAATATGCCTTTTGGCAACAGGAGAATTTTCATTCTCAATTATGTTAATAATAAGACACCAGGCATGAGCTACGGGACTTATATTTCATCTCATTTAAAGCTATGAAGTCCGTATTATACTCCATTTCATAGGTGAGGAAACCAAGATAAAGGAGGCTGTGCAGGTCAAATCACTACATACACAGCCGAGTAATATTCAAGCCTGACTAAAAAGCCCATTTTCTTAGTCACTCTTCTGCAGATTTTAAGACACTACTATTAAGAATAGCAATAATAAAGGAAAAAATGAATTAGGAATGAAAAAGAATGGTAGGGAGCCATGGTGGCTCAGGCCAGTTGTCCGGGGGCTTGAGGAGGCAAGGCTATGCATTCGAAGCAGGCTGGGCAATATAAGAACCTATCATTCATTTAAAAAAAAAAAAAAAAAAAAAGAATGGTAATACAGAAGGCAGGCTGGGATTATGAAGGTTTTACAACATAGCCTTGAGGGGCATATGAGTTAAGTTCAGTCTTAGGAGCCTCTTTCACATATAAAGAAAGGTAGAGGCTAAGATATGTGAAAGAGCTGAAAACACTAACTTGAGCCTGAGGGTAAAACACGGAGCAATGAACAAATGGTCCTGGGTACTGGGAACCTCCTAAGCTATACTAAATGATTCTAATAAGCATAACTCCAATTGTTTATATATTAGCCATCTGGATTGCAACACACATAACAGCCAGAGAAGAAAGCAAACAATGTGAAATAACAATTCCAAATCATAAAATCATAGACACAGGCAAAATAAATTGTCTTCATTTGCCTGTTTTCTGTAAAAAAACAAAACAAATTTATCTTTTCATTGTGTTTTATTTTTGGAAAACAAAGTATCTTGTTAAAATTAGGGAAGACATAGAACTTTTAAATTTTCTAGCAGGTAAGAGCGGACAAGTACAAATTAAAAGAATAAGATTCATTATGGTTTAAAAATAAATAAAATACATTTATGGGGTTTTTACAAATTAAGAGTACATCATTCATTCCCACGTTTTGATGAATGTAATATGTTACATATTACATGCCCATAAATACACATATAGTAGGGTTTTCACAAGATTCCTTTGGATCTCTTAATATCTAACCCTACTTCTCCACTCAAGTTTTAAGTATGTCAATCCCTAATTCTTCTTGTCACAGTGTCAATGGAGTTACATCACTGAAATCTCTGTCTCAGGCACCATACATCGTAGCTTCAGTCACCCTCAACAAATCTTTCTGTTTTTTTTCATGGCAGGGTTTCATAATATAATTGATACAGCATGGAATCTGGTAATCTATCTCAAGAAATCTTTGCTCTATTGTGATTTAACCTCTCCAAGGCTGTTTATTCAACATCAAAATAGAAGTAATACAATTCCCCATTATTACATTTTCCTATCGTTTTATAATTCTGTTGTTA